GTATTTATGCATCTTTTTTTTTTGTTCTTATTTCCCTGGTTGCGTTTGTTATTGTTTATATCACATTTTGTAAAGGGATTACAAAATGGGACACATTTATTGATGTCTGAAGATGCAGCATTTAAAAAGAATCTTATTAAGAATCTATGCTTTAATAATAAAAGCCACAATAAACTGTTTTGAATCAGTCAGTAAACATCTCTGATATAAAGACGTAGTAAAACAGAATGACTGAGCTGAATGAACAGACCTGCACTAAAGGAACCAGGGAACCACTTAAAAGATTCAGGTCGTGCTTCTTCTTGAACAGCTTTAGATCAGAGTACGCTTTGTCGACTAAAAACAAAGAATAAAACGATGAGTCAGACATTTAGAGCAACTGAGATCGACGTGAAATCAAAGAGTAAACGTTTACRTTCGAATTGGTTTCCACTATGTTCCGCCTCCTTCATTTTGTCGGTGAGGTTAGTGAACTGGGGCCGGACGTTGTTGAGTTTGACCGCCTCTCGCCGGCCCTTCACCATGACCGGAAACAGGGCCAAACGGATCAGAACCGTCGCTGAGCAGACACACAACACGGACGACAAAGATGGAGATGAATGAGGTGTAAAGAAAACAAATGAACACACAAATATATATATAAAAAGAATGTATTTACCTACAGCGATAGCCCCCCACCAGGGCAGGCCCARATCCAGGTGTAAGGACTCCAAMAAKTTCTGGATCAGACCGCTGGGTGTGTAACTGCCCAGACCCAGTTCTACCAGCCGAGGCTCCGCYGYCACGGCCTGCAGGACGTCGGCCGCGGTCGGCGCGGCCTCAGCCACCTGCTCGACGAGGGGCGGGGTCAGAGCAGGGGCGGGGCCAGAAGCAGGAAGAGTTAAAGTGTCTGCTGCTGAGGTTGCCATGGAAAGAGTTTCAGCTGTGATCTGGGAAACGACAGCGAGAACTGTTTTATGTTACGAGAAGAGAAGCTGCTTCCTCAGGAGGTGTGTGCTATTTATCCCCCTCAGTTACCTGCTCAGGTGCTGCTGCTGCGAWGACATCAGCAGGCAGAGACACGGAGGACGAGTCCAGGACAGGAGGACTGCTGAGGAACTCCACTGGAGCTGCTGTAACCCCTTCATCAGGTGGGATCTGAAATAACAATAACCTGTTAACAATCATAGATTTTAATCCAATCTTTGGGATTAAAATTAAGAATTAAAAACAGCTTCTCTTTGTGAGGCTGAACTAATGACATCAGACTTTTAAACATCTGCAGAGAAAAACCAGATCAAACAACGAGGGAGGAACAAACAAGAAATGACCAGAACCAACATATTATCTAAAATAATCCAGATTGTGAAGATTTGTTTTTGTGTCTGGAGCTGGAAGTTAAATTTCTACAGCTTTAATTAATTTACATTAAACTCTCTGCTCTGTTGCGTAAAGAGGCTAAAGCTAATCAAAGACGAAAATGGGCTCAATTTATTGGACATTTGCCTCAATCTTTATGCTTTTTGGCATTAAAAGTTCAAAAATACTTGCATTAGCAACTGACAAAACAGTTTTAGTTCTAAGAAATATGACTAGAATTTACTAATCAAGACTCCACTTGTCAAATGCAGATTTGTTAAATAAACGTAAGTAAGGCTGGCCTGGTTACAACGATCACTTTTAAAATAAAACTGATACATCCGTGAAACGCCTGAAAGCTTAAAGTAAACAGASTAAATGGTCTTCCTCAGATGATGAACACACCTGTGAACTGTTGTGTCTGACGGCGGCGGCGTTCAAGCAGACAAACTGCCCGTGGCGTCGGCGGCTCAGCTGAGCTCGGCTGGGTGGACGGCTGCATCCGAACAGGGTGTGCAGGTGGGACGTCTGCAGCCACACCTGAGTGCACAACACAACAAGACCCTCAGCAAGACACAAGATACAGCTGCACAGTTAGTATGAATATGTAAAAAATAACAACTACCTGGTTAAAATTTATGGGACAAAATTATTTACCTTGAATTCCTAAAGACAGCTTTGGTTTAATTTAATAAAGCAACTTGGCCTTTTTAAATCTCTGTTGGTGNCACGGCCTGCAGGACGTCGGCCGCGGTCGGCGCGGCCTCAGCCACCTGCTCGACGAGGGGCGGGGTCAGAGCAGGGGCGGGGCCAGAAGCAGGAAGAGTTAAAGTGTCTGCTGCTGAGGTTGCCATGGAAAGAGTTTCAGCTGTGATCTGGGAAACGACAGCGAGAACTGTTTTATGTTACGAGAAGAGAAGCTGCTTCCTCAGGAGGTGTGTGCTATTTATCCCCCTCAGTTACCTGCTCAGGTGCTGCTGCTGCGAWGACATCAGCAGGCAGAGACACGGAGGACGAGTCCAGGACAGGAGAAAATGTTTTGATTTTATTCAGTTAAGTGCTGTAGAACTGTGATCAAGTCATAGCTCCGCCCCTCTGTGGAAATCTTGGAAAGGGGGAGTTTTAAAACTTCATGCAAAGAGTTTTTCATTGTTCTGCCATGTGCTCAGTTCTAAGAAGTATTTGAGGAGAGAGTAGCTTTCAGTTCCAGCTTCCCCCATCCCGGGGCGAGGCCATTCATTTTTCCAACTTTATTTCCTTTTTGTAGTTTTGTTCTGAAGGAGCTTTTCAGGAAGGAGATTGTGATAGAATAGATATAATAATAATAATAGAGTGATAGAATCTAAAAAAAAAATCCAGAAAAATACAATTGATTGAAACGATGAGGCTGATTTAATTCAAGTCGGACGACCACCAGTGTGCCCGCAAGGAAAGCAGCCGCTGCAGTGCGCTGGATATAACATCTCCAGTGAATGCAGCCCAGCAATCCAGATGACCAGGGAGCTTCTGCACAGCTAAGTCACAGGCTCGGTTGGACTTCATGTGCCAGCCCAATTAGTATAGAAGTATCCATTCTGTCATCTACAAACTTTGCCAGTAGGAAATATCTTGCTTAATTAATCTGATAGTGTTCAAGAAAATCAGATCAGAGAGTATATCAATGTTCATTCTTCTTCCCCTGAGCTCCCTCTTTGTTTGCTGTAGGCTTAGGAATAGCGAGTTAGTGTTTCACTGAAATATGTGTAGAAAGTTGTTCACATGGTAGCCATGTCAGGCTACTTACGTCATTTCTTGATCAAGTTTACGGAACTGATTATAAAGTGTGTTTTTGTCTGAAAAATGACTTGTAATGCATATATTTCCCTCTGAACCTCATTTTAAATAATACACGGATGAATTTCCAAATGTGAATAGTTTCCGTCTGTGTATTTTCTTGTCTCACGTCATCATTATTACGCTGAAAGAATTAAACGCCTTCATATTCAAAGATCGAATATTAAGAGAAAAGTTTTTCTGAAGTTTTACTACAAAAACTTCAGTGGTGCCCCCGTAAGGTGAAATTAGACATTTCATACAGAGTTTGTTTAATTTTAGCATTTAAAACACCTACAAGGCTAAAGCTAATCAAAGACAAAAAGGGGCTCAATTTATTGNAGGTTGACAAACCGTCCTCCACTTCTTTAACGCTCTGTTTCACGTGGTCCAGATCTGCGCGCAGTAGCATCGTGCCGTTAGCCACCTCCGCTCTCACCGCTTGTAGCTCCCCTTTAATAACAGTAAGCTCTTCAGCCAAAGCCGCTTTTATTTCGGATTTGATCACAGCTGAGAGATCGGTTTTTATAGCGGCAAGAATGTCAGACCTCAAGGAGAGTGCGTCCACCTCGCTGCGGGAGGGAGAGGAGAGCGCCGAAACTCCGGCCTTAGCTGCAGTCAGCTCCAAGGTGGCGTCAGGCCTAACAGCCGTCGAGCTAGAATGTTTGGCTTTCCTCGAGTTTGTCACCATTCTTCTACTCTTCCGGGGAAGAATCACTCAGGGGTCGAGTCCGGACGGACCAAACGTTCAAAACAGCAAGGACATTTAGTATGGAACCACAAGCAGAACAAGTCGGAGCGGGAGCCCACGTGACACACGTCTTACTCCTCCGCCATCTTGCCTAAAACTCAGAATATTGGTTTAT